TACGTGCTTAGCTCTCCTTCCAAACACCATCCCCGGGTGCACATACAGGCACTGCTCACGAGCCATTCGCTACTTGTCAACACCACTGTCTTGAGCTTTAACTCCAGGGGCTGTAAGGGTGAGATCGTGTCTGCTGAACTGGATTTATACCACGGCCTGCCCTGGAATAACACGGGCTTGTTTAATGCTTTTATAATCCCTCCTGATCACTCTCAAATTGATGCCATCCTCACTGCTGCCTCCACAACCTCTAACCTGTTTGCTAGGGGCCCTCACCTACCCCAATCTCTTATGCAAGTAATACCCTGCGTGAACGTGGCTCTTCCTAGCTGAAATCTCTGATCGGCTTGGAGAGTGAAGCCCACACCCACCCCGGCATCCCAGGGCCCGATTCTGGCCCAGCTGCCTACCCAGTTTTTCGGCTAAACTTGAAGCTGCATCTTTAGCCTCAGGGGAGCCTGTCTTTGCACGGCCTCCATCCCTCCATCACACCTGGAGCAACAGATGCAGGGGATTCCTGCATCCCAGACGCAGGGGAATCCCTCATCTCTTTGGGTGGGTGAGGGGGTCCCGTGAAAAAATGGACGTGAGGGTGCTATGAGAAAGCTAAAGGGCTACTTAAACACACTATTGTTATGACATCACACTTATCACATACACACCCTCAGAAAACCCCACCAGAGGCTGTTCACGCTACCTCTGTAGCTAGGAATGCCCCGTTTCGCTTTCCTCCCCACCCAGCTAATACTGTTATTACTCAAATTAAGACCCGCTCCAGTTCTATTTCCTTATAAAGCTGTTATATCATTCTCACCCACAATGACTTTCCTTATTTGACCTTTATATAACAAGCATCTGCAACTTAATATAAAATAAGTTCTTATGTTCTTTCTAAGTGTCTGAATGTGTAAATACTATCCTCAAAAGCACGTCAAGGGGGAAGCGGTTTAACAGGCACCGAGTCTCCGTGTGCGGTGACGGAAGAGTCTGCGGGACGCCCGTGAGGGGCGCAGGATGATGTGAATGCGCGAAGGTCGCTGAGTTGTACACTAAAATGGTAAATTTTATGTTACGTATATTTGTCCACAATAAAAAAAAAGCACATCAAAGTCATGCAGGAACACATTGTATGCGTCATTGCCCTCACAAGCCCAGATACGGTCCCGAGTACTATCATACCGCCCGGTGAAATGAACTGTATTTGCTGCACAGGATAATAATAATATTTGAACCTTTACAAATCATTTTGCAGTGTATAAAGCTGCTTCATCATAAACTAGCTTAACCATTTGATCCTGCTAAACTGTCACAGGTACCACTTACCTTTATTTTCTAGAGGGACACACAGAAACTTGAAAGGTTTAGTGACGATTACGGCCAGAGAGCACCAGGCTGAGCTGAGCGTCATCTGGGTCTCACGAATCCAAGAAATTTTCACAAGCTTGTCATCCACTGTTCACCGTGTTAGAACCGTTCGTGCCTTTTCTCTCAGAAAAGTCATGCGTGGACATAATTCCTTGTGCAGGCAGGGGGAGGGCCCTTCACCTTGGCCTCCAAGCCGCAGCAGCTCTGGATGGGCTCTCCCAGGGTGACTCTGGGGCTCTCAGCTCTCTGTTTAATCGCAACCCCGTAGGCAGCTGCTCCCACATACGTGTCCTTCCATGTGCCTGACCCCATTTTACAACATTTTAGCCTGGATGACAGGACTGGAGGAGGTGCTCCCCAGTGAATGGTGAATTAGACTATCTGAACTGCGACTATGCAGAACTTCACTTTCTTCAGGAATGATTGAAGCCAATCGGACCTCAGTGTGGAACAAATGAAGGACTTTCATGCTTCCTACGACTGGCAGAGACGCTTATCCATCACCTAGCCATACACAGATTAAGAATGTCAGGCCTCTTTCTGCTTCGAAACATGAGCCACTTCCTTAAAAGGTCTGCGCAGGCCTCGCAGTGAGGCGGACAGTTCCCTGTGCTTGGGGAGATAGCACACATATTCAGCATTGCTGTCCTGACAAGTCACCTCCTGATTAGGCTTCAGTGGAATTAGGAGCTGAATGTGTTCCTTAGTTCCAGGGCAGGCCTGCTTCTAAACACTGAAGCTCTAGGAGTTTCTAAAGTCCCCTGAAAAGAGCCTAATTTACGTGAATACAAATATTCCTGCTCGTTTAGTAAACAGCCCTGAGAGAGAAGGGGAGCACTTGAAAACGCCTGTGCCTCTTCATGCCAAATACAACAACGTCTGAATTGCCCCCTTTTAGAAAAAGCACTAAACTTCCTCAAAAAATTGAAAATAAGTGCCACATGATCCAGAAATTACACCTCTGGGTTTGAAACCAAAACAATGAAAGCAAGGCCACAAAGAGACACTTGCGCAGCCATGCTCACCGCAGCACTATGCCCAGCAGCTGAAGCAGGGGAGCAACCCAATGCCATCGGCAGACGCACAGATAAACGGACCTGTGGAATATTAGTCAGCCCTAAAAAGGAAGGAAATTCTAACACGTGCTACCGCACAAATGAACTGTAAAAACATTACGCTCCGTAAAGGAAGACAGTCACAAAAGGCTAAATACTACATGATTCCACTTCTGAGGCAGCTAGAGGAGTTAAATTCACAGAAAGTACAATGGTGGTTGCCAGGGGCTGGGAGAGGGGAGAATGGGAAGCTGTTGTTTAATGGGTACAAGAGTTGAGTTGAGCAAGACAAAAAGTTCTGGAGACGGCAACGCAACAAAGTGAATGTCCTTAACACTACTGAACTTAGAAATGGTTAATACGGTAAATTTTGTTCTATGATTTTACCACAGCTTTTTAAAAAATCTCTCTTTTTTTAAAAAAAGCACTACATTTTTACTAAGTCCTTCTGTAGCAAGGATTGCCAGAGCATAGGAGACTCTGAACTGTGGCTATAATTAGGCACCATGTCCGCCACAACGCTGCAGACGTCACTGTGTGCTCCCTGCATCTGTTGACAGATCTCATACCCAGCATATCACTGAAATGGCAAGTGTGGAGAAGGTGGCCCACAATAGAAACAATGGCATTTTCTCCTCTCCCTGTTCCAACGGTGTGTCTCATAGGACGCAAATAGAGGCCACAGCTCTGGCCGCACTGACCTCACAGCTCAGGATTATTGCACGGACTTGAGTGGTTCCGCACCAAAAGTGGAAACGGTATCTTCAGAGTTATTCAGGTCTGTGTCCTAATGTAGCGTTTTGTTTTGTTTTCCCCAGTGTCTACACTCAACCTATCTAAGAACAAAAATAAATTCTCATTTTAAACTTTTTAGCATTATCTTGAACTAGGATCAGGAAGTATAATTGGTTTCTAATAATATACCTCACATGCTATATACAATTATAATATTCTCACTGGAAACAAAACCCTAAAAAAATTACAAAGACATTATACCCACAAATATTGTGAATATATTTAAAAATTAAATGTATTAGAAGACATATGTCCGTGTGGTCTGTGGAAGTCAACATTAGCTCTATTCTGCTATTGTACACAGTACTTTAAAAAATCAACAGAAGCCACTGTGATTAGACTGTTACTTCCAAAAATTATGAGATGACTATTTGTCCAATTCCTTAGCTATTTTACTGTTCTTTCTAATGAAAAAAAAAAGCAATCTTTGAAACAAAGATTTAGTTTTTTTATTCCATAAAAAATCTAATAATGAAAATTGTGAGAAAAATTTTTAAAAAGATATACTCAATGCTAAAAATTAGTTATTTTTTAACTTCTTGCTGATTGGTGACACATCAGCTAGTCCAGATGACACATAAGTAACCCTTCGGCCAGGCGTTTGCCTCACAGTAAGTCAATAAATGTGGTAGAAGATTTGAAATTTTATTTTCCTTTGTAGACTCAACTTCTACTTATCACTCCCATTCTCTTGTTTCCAAGAAGGTAGGGATGGTTGGAAGTCTTAGGAAACTAAGGTGGGAAGTGAAATGTAGCTAAATTGGAGCTTTAAAATAATATTTTTAAAAAAATGGTATTTTGAGAGAGGGTAGAAAACAAAAGAGAAACCCTGATATAAAAATAACCCTTGGATATTTGATAATTATCCCAACGTGGGCCCTCTCTTCTTCCAGTTAACATTTTGCTGGGAGGGAAGTATGGGATGCGCTTTCCAACCATATACTAACACACTATCGCAGGATCACCCACAATGGCGGCTACACACAGCACTTCCCGTGCGCACCAAAGGTTATCCTCTTAAAAGCAGGACCTAAGAAGGGAATCCACTTTGCCCCACCCCCCAATAGGGGAAGCACGGGCACCCTGCTTTACCACGGCGTGGTGTCCTGAGGCTGGGTGAGCAGGTCTGTGTTGGCAGGCCTGACCCAGCCAAGCTCCTGCCAGTCAATCAGGGGGTGGATTTATCCTCCTGGTGAGATCCCTGCTGGTTCCAGCCAAGGGGATCAGGAAGAAACCCCGAAGAGTGCAATGTTCCACTGGGCCCCAGAGAGTGCCAACCAGGATGGCATGGAGCTTTTAGGGCTGGCTCAGTCCCTCGTCCTGTGCACTTACCTCAGTGACCCATAAATAGAGTGTGGATAATCATTACTTTATCGTGAATGTCCAGTGTTCACACGACATTCCCTCTAAGGAGCCTGAGACAGTTAAGAAATGGGCTTCAATGACTCGGGCAGCGCCGCGCACACCACGCAGCCAGGAGAGTGCAACTCTGCGGCCAAGGTCACAGACTCGGGCGACTCAGGGTCTGGTCAGACGCGAGTCAAAGGAGAAACACTGAACACTGTTCGGCTTGTGCTCTCGCGGCAGGCGCGCCCGCGCGCACACGGGCCCTCGCTTCACGCCTGTCGCGGACCTGCTCCCCTCTCTAAGCGGCGCGGGGCTGCGAGGATCCGGGACAGCACGACACCTCCCGCTCGTCGCCGCGGCCGGCGACAGACACGGGGGGGACACGGGCATGCGGGGGGACAAGAACACGCGGGGACACGAACACGCACGCCCTCTGACCTTCCGCTGCTGCTTCTCCCAGGCGGGGTCCAGCAGCAGGTCGCGGTCCCACTCCTCCTCCTGGATCATGTACTCGTCATCGTCGTACACGTAGTTGTACTGCACGCCGGGCTCGACCTGGTTCATGATGCTGGGTGTCGGGGGCTGGACGGCGGACTCGGACTGACAAGAAGACAGCGGGAGAGGCGGAGACGCGGAGACGCGGCGGGCGCGGGCGCGGGCGGAGACGCGGCTCCTCTGGGCGGCGGGCCGGGCGCTGGGTCGCGGAGAAGCACCAGCTCGGGTGGCGAGCGACTCCGCTCCGCTTAATACCTGCGCTCCGTCACGTGGCCGCGCACCCCGCCCCCGCCACGCCCGTTCACGCCCTGGCCACGCCCACGCCGCTCGGAGCAGGAGCCGGTGGGCGAGGGTACAGGGGCTCCCGGCGACTGCGGGACCTCGGTCCCGCCGTTGCCCCGCCCCCTCGGAGGCGATCTGAGTCCCCACCCCGCCCGCCCGCTCCCTCCGGCTCCGACAGCTGGACTCGTGGGCGCCGGGGTGAGTACCCCATGCATCGGTGTACACGGGCCAGGAGGGACCCCCATAGCCTGGGTCCCTGACCAACCCCCAACGTGTCCATGTTTTTCGTGCATCGTTTGCACATTCACGGTTTCCATATAGTTGCACATATTTAGTGGCTATCACACAAAACACATACACCCCTAAAAAAGTAACGCTGAAGAGCTACAGAATCCTATTTCTTCTCCCCCTCACCTACATCCTCACCTGGGGAAATCAAGGCAAGGAACTCGGACCAACCATATTGAAAAATCAGGAACCAAAACCATGACAGGAAGTGTCAGCTCTCACCTGCCCGTCATAAATTTAAAAGAACTGACAATGAAGGACGAGCAGCTTCGTGTTATGTGTCCACCTCATCCTGATGTGTCGCACTTAAGCCTTTTCATCTCGATAGGGCTGGCTAGCGCTCCCCCATCAATTATGCCTCTGAAGGGACCGAGATAAGGTTCCCTGAGACGAGCAGTTTGACAATTTTTATCGTATTTATCACGCACCTACTGTAACCTAAACATTGCATCATTTGTTGACATGTTTCGAGCTGAAAGTGTGCCTGGATTTATCATTGTTCCTTAGAAATTTTATATCACTTAGTTTTATTTTTTTCAAGCTTTCTGCAAAAAGACTTTGGCAAATTAGCAAATACATTGCATTAACATTTTTAAAAAGCATACTCACTAGACTGTGAACTTCACAAGGAAAGGGATTTTGACTTGCTTACAGATGTAATGGCCAGCCATTAGAAGTGTGCCTGTTTCATACTGGGTGCTCAAATACTTGTTGAAGGAATAAGTATCCTTGGAAACGGTGACTGGGCTAATTTGCTTGGATTTAAAGTTAAAATTTGAAGTTTATATTTTGGATTGAAATCATACTCTCTGAACAAGTTTATCAGTCAATTTTGACTATTAGAAACTGGATCATCAATTATAAAATGTGTTCATCTTAGTCATGAAAATAAACTGTGGAAAATTCAGGTTTCAGATGAAATGTGGAAAAAAGCACCAGATGTACCATCCTACATAAAACAACTAAAATGTGGGGGAAAAAATAAATGAAACAAAGATTTTCAGGACATTGGTCAACCGGCAAAGAAGGATGATGATCGTTGAGAGGCAGATAATGAACCACTGCATTGGCCCCAGCTTATCCCCTGGAAAAGGTTTTCTGAGACGCAATACAATAAAGGACCACTGTGGCCAGAGTTTGCAAGACCAATTACAGAAGAGGAAAGAGCTGCAAAAAGTGAACCCTGGAGACTGGCAAGGGGACTCGCTATAGCCAGCGAATACAGATCAGTGAGTACAGGGGAGAGGGGTATCTGAGAGCACCCAAACTTCCAGGAAAAAAAGTTTTTTATTTTAATTTTTTCATTCAATTGTTTATTTATTTATATGTGGATACTTGTTTTTTTATAAAAGGTATATTTTGCATAAGATATTGCTTTCTAGAGTTACACTTTTAATGCATAAGCATAAATAAACTAATTAAAACATTTATATAGATACAGAATTAGTACTACTCATGTATAATGTGCATCCTTATTTTTCCCTCAAAAATGTGGGCTGAAAAGTGCACAGCAAAGTACAGTATTACTGTATCACATATTTCAAGATGTTAGAGGAAAGACTGAACATGCTAAGTAGGAACATGGAAGTTATTCTTTAAAAACCCAAATTGAATATCTAGAGCTGAAAAGTACATCCGAGATTAAAAACATACTGAATGGGCTTCACTACAGGAGAGACAGTGAGGAAGAAAAGATGGGTGAACTTAAAGATACCGCAATAGAAACAACCCAATATGAAACACACAGAGGGAAAAAAATGGCTTTAAAACTAAGCCGGGGTCAGTGAGCTGTGGGAAAACTTCAAGCAGCCTGTAATCTGTGTAATTGGAGTCCCTGAAGTGGTAGGATACAAAAAAACAGGAAAAAATATTTGCAGGAATAACAGCTAAATTCAAGAAATATTGATAGAAGTGAGGAGACTTCTACTTCTGGCCGAGATAGAGTAATGGAGACTGGGATCACCTTTCCTTCTGAAACGATACTCCCCCCTCCACCACCCGCCCCCCCCCCCCCCGCCAAAAAAAAAAAAAAGAGAGAAAGCATGCGAAACTGGTTTTCCATACACTGGGCATCAGGCTGCAAAGGACAGGAATCCTGAGAGAAGGAAACAAAGGAAGAGAATCCTATAGCTGCCTCCATTTACAGCCTTGAGAGCCGCCAAGGGCCAGGGCGTTGCCCTGGAGTCTGGAGGACACCCTGAGCTGAGGCGAGGAAGCTGAGTCTCTGAAGAAGGCGGCAGCTGGTATTCACAGGACAGAGTACCAAGAGAGGGCCACACAGAGAGAGCACTGGAGGTCTCCATTGTCCCCCGAGTGTTCAGCAGAGCACTACTGATCCGTCATGCCTGTGAGGAAACTACCCAGGTCCAACGGCAGAACCATCGAAAGGATTAGAGGGAGGACAGCCAGGTGTTTACACCAGGCGGTGGGTGCCGGCCCAGGTCACAGTCTGCAGCACTCACATCCCAGAGTGCTCGGCAGGGTGTGTAGGGACATCTAGCCGCAGCCCTGCGGCTCTCATCTTGTACAGTTTGGGATACCCACTACCCTTGGTACACCGCACAGTACTTAGTATAAGTGTAACTAACATTTATGGAACACTTAATTTGTTCCAGGCATGATGGAGAATATTTTGAATGTTACCTAATTTAATATCAAAAAACCTTACGTATGAAGGGAGTATAAGCCTCCCCATTCACACGTAAGGAGCCTGGCGTGGAGAGGTGAGGTAACTTGACCAAGGTCATGTGACTAATAGGTGGTAAGATCAGAACTTGGACCCAGGACTGTTGTTAACTGTAGCTGGGGAATTAGGGGCCTGGGTTGAGATCAACTCCTGAGTGACAGAGCCACGATTAGAGGCCATGTCTTCATTTCTGGGGGTTCCTCTTTAGGGCTTCTTCTAGGTCACCGGCCCAAACTCTCAGCCAGCTGCTTTCTCACCTCAAACTCGTGAAAAATGGCGTGACTCGAGATTCTCAGTCACTGTCCATTCTCCAAATATCCTTGTCGTGCACGAGACCCCATAGAACCGGCTGGGGACGCTCACACCCTGCTGGCTTCCTTCCTCCGCTGCGTTACTAGTCAGGCCTTCAGCCAGCTTTCCTTGGGTCCTCCAGTCCCCTTTCCAAGTTCCACTGCGCAATTCTTGTCCCACCAGAAACTTTAACTTTCAGAACTACTGGTTGTTTAAGGAACAATAACTAACATTGTGAACTGTTCTTTTTCTGAATATGTTTACTTTGGCCATTTTTATGTGCATTAACAATTTTTAGATTCATAGAAATTTAAGAGCTTTTAGATATTATCTAGTCCAACTCCCAACATTATATGAATTGCTGAAAAACACCATTAAAATTTTTTAAAAAAATTGCTTGCTCGCATTATTTCTAGACTGATGATATGGCTAGTATGACCCTGAAAATAATTTTCCAGTTCCAGAAGCCTCACTACTTCAAAAGTGACTCATCTGGAGGTAGATTTATTGGAAATATTAAGTTTCAGAGATCCTCACATGCATGACACTTTCAAAAACTGTACCAAATTTAGAATTCACGATTGTGCTTTCTGTTTTCTTAGATGAGGCCCAGAAATTGAGAAATGGGCAGGGCAGGTCCCTGAATGAACTCACCCTGTTTTTGGTAGATGTGGTGTAACTTCTATCCATAGCAGCCCCATCTCCTGGAGCTCCAGAGTAAACATCTAATCTGATTCCACACAGTTGACTTCCAGGTATTTTAAGACAATCAACAATACACAGAACATTCTCTTCCATCATCTTGAGACATTTGTTCTCCAGATTCTTTATCATAATCGCATCTATTAAAGGCTCCGTGTGTGATAAACACCGTGGCAATCACTTTACATAAATTATTTCCCTGAATCCGCACAGCCACCTAGGAGGGAGAAGGTATGGCTCCCGCTTTACAAACAAGGAAACTGAGATTTGAAGAGGTTATAGAACCCATCTAGGGTCACACAGCTCAAATATGCAGTGGGTTGTTACAAAACCCATATATTCAACAGGTATGTCACATTATCTTCTTAATTATTTTTTTGGACACACTTCTGGATGTTTCTATATAATCTTTCTAAATGTGTTTTCAATGCAGTCTTTTTGGAAAGGATATGATACTGCCTATCAAGAATTGTAAATTGACCTTTTGACCGAGAGATTCCGTTTCAATGAATCCACCCTACAGATATGGACAAGCGTGCACGCAGAGGAGGCTGATGAAGGAAGTTACAGAACATCTCTAAGCTTTCATGTTGGTTTAGAAATGAAAAGCAAGTTGCAAAAGTGATATCTTTTGTGGAAGAAAATTACATGGCTCTAAAATGTTTGTATTTAGACAAACAGCGATCCATAGGGAATGGAGGGATGGAAAGATGGGGGAACCTGAACTATTTATCTCACATGGTTTTGTGCTATTTGTTTTTTCCAGTCAGTGCATGTTACCTTTATGGTAAATAATAGCCTCTATCACCCCAGCGGTGTTCTCACCAGGTCGAGAACAATACATCATCAAGAACTGAAATCTCATCTATTAATCCAGTTTCACTTTGCATTCAATTTTCTGTCCGCCTACAGTACAGCTGGCTTCCATTGGACTTGACGTCGGTGAGAACACCTCGATTCACACAGAACTGGAAAGCAGCGTGGGTAAATAAGAGATAAAATTCAATCCC